TATTATTTAAGACATAATATTGCAAAATAAAATAATAGATTTTTTTTTGTTTTTAAATTGAAATCATATATTTAGAAGTTTGTTCAGTGAACAGTCAATCTGAATCAATATATCTCTTCTTTTTTTTTCTCTCATTAACATCAATAAAAAAAAAAAAAGAACAAGAAAAAAAGAAACAAACAGAATCTGCATGTTGTCATAACACATTTATGTAGTATACTAAGAAACAAGCAGTAAAGAAAAAAGATCTATACACACACATACATAAATCACCGTAACTATTTCTATACAACATATAAGTAACATTTATTTTCGAAAGCCTTTAAGTATTGGATAAATACGTTCAAATGCTTCATGGATTTCTCGGCGAACTTTTGCTCCTAGAAAAAAAAAAAAGAAACAATATTCTAAACATAATTCATCATTTCTTCATACCAGTTAATACAACTTTGCCAGAAACAAAAATGAGTAGTACAATTTTTGGATGCATCATTCGATAGATCAAACCAGGAAATAATTCTGGTTCATAACTACAATTAAATCATATATATATATATAGACAATGATTTCAAAAACTGATCATATAGATTTTTCTCTTATGAAATGACGAAAAAATAAGTTCAATTGAACTCTTTCTAAGATTTCTCATAGTACAGAATCTAGCAGAAATAACAAGCATTATAAACTTTCGAACTAATAGACTCGTGCTCTGCATTTTTATTCCTGTGAGTGTTCATTTAATTATATAGATAGTATTTTGCTAGAAGAACATAAGTATGCATTCTATTCTCATTCTTTCATGTTTATAAACATTCCTTTCGCCTTCTCTCATCTTTTATCTATTTAGGCAGTTGATATGAATGTGAATACCGATATTTTATGTCGTTTTGCTAAATTAATTTTGCAATTACAAACTTTGTTGGATCTACTTGTACGTCTCAATCATTTTCAAAAATGTTTTAAATTGAAGAGAAAATCGTATTCCGCAACTTAACAGAGTCAAGCGTTTTTTTTTTCAATTTAGTTCTTAAGGACAACGCTAATGCCATAAATTGATTAAAAACAATTAAAAACTTGGCTCTAGCTTTTACTATAATATTTCCTTGAATTCTGTTCTGATGAGACAAAAATAGATTTTTGTCAGGGGGAGAAGGGCTTTATATCAATGTGGTTCTACCACAAAAAAAAACCAATGTCGTGTAGACCTCAGAGATTTTGTAGAAAATTAGTTGCTCTATACTTCGATTATAATTAACTTTAAATGGGTTATTATTATCATCGGAAAAAAAAACTTGAATTTTAAATCTATATGATTATTCATACCTGCAAAATTGATAATGTTTTAATACAAGTGCTTCTAATCGAATAGGAAATTTCACATCAACACTTCCAACCATATTTTGAATTTTAAAATCTCGAAATTTAGCCTAGATAAAAGAAAAACAAGAAATTTTTTTTTTATATATCATTAAAAAAAATATGAATTAAATATCATACAGGAAAACCAAGTTTTTGTATAACTCTTGCATAACGTCGTGCAGCTTGTAATGAATCTTCTTCACTTTTAGCACCTGTACATACCATTTTACCTGAACCAAATATTAATGCTGTTGTACGTGGATTACGTATACGCATAATAACAGCAGCAAAACGTTTTGGATTATATTCAGCATTACGTGCTTGTAATGCAATACGTTTTAAATCTAATGGACAACCAAGATTAACTGTTGAAACAATATTTCTAGAATATTTTTATTCATAGAATAAAAATTTTCTAAGACAAATAAATTATTACTGTAAACTTGGTTGTAAATGTGAAACATCAGCTGGTCGTGGTGTAAATGGTGTTGCAACTGTTGAAAATGGTGTTGATGGTGCAACTGAATTTGGATGATAAGATGATACAGATGGTGGTGGACCCATATTTGTTGTTATTTTTGAACTAATTGGTGGATAATGATATGCTGTTATTGTTGTTGGTGTTATTGTATCTATATTAACTGTATACGATTCTTCTTTTGGTGTAACACTTCTTGGTCCTGCTGATGGTGGTAATGACATTGGTGATGGATGTAGATCATTCTAAATATAGAAAATTTGGAAGAAATAAAAATAAATTTGTTATGAATAACAAAACCTGATGTGAATGAACATCACTAAATGCTGGTGAAAAATCCATATGATATTAATTTATTTAGAATAGAAGAATAATCTGAAATTGAAATGAATATTTTTGAAAAAATAAAAAACGGGACTAGTCAATGTGTAAGAGAGTAATGAAATAGATTTATCCAATTATTTCTTCTGATTATGGAAGAGGAAAATGCAAGGAGAAGGAAGAGAAATGTAAGAAAAAATAAGACGAAAAATGATTTGTCGACTACAGAGAATATACAATACGATGAAATATTATATTATATAAAGATGTCGCTGAAAATTGACATTTGAATTTTGAGTTTTATTCGAATGTAATTAGATTTTAACTTGAAATCAATGATTAAGTTAAAAATAATGATAGAAAGCTTTATTGCTTTTAACATCTGAATAAATAAATAAATTTGTCTATATGATCTAGTAGCCGAATAATTAGCTTAGTATTGCAAGTTTTGTGAATGTAGGTTCCATTTAATTAATAACATTTTAAAGGTAGTAAAAAAAGATAAGGAGAACTCGAGAACTTACAGAAGAGAAGATATATATATATATCAGATGACAACAATAGAGAAAATCACTAATATACATAACCGGAAAAGACATATTTATATACGCATGAGATAGACACGTACTAGATAACAGAAAAAAAAACAAACGATATATTACAACTGATAGAAAAATAGACAATATGTGATGAATTCATACATATTGGCACATATCTTTAACAAGTAAGTATAGAAGAGTTTGAAAAAATGTTATTATAAATGACTTAAAACAAAATCCATGTAAAAAGGGAAGCATTTTTTTATTTGACTATATGCCATTCTACGCTATAATAATGTAAAAATATGATCCGATCAGTTAAAATGACACGAATTTTCACTTATTTGATATTAATAACACTTGTTGAATAGAAAGAATATAAAAATATTAATGTCTTTCAGCTACCTAGATGTATGAAATACTGACAGATTCAATAGCTTGATATCTTCTCTACAATTACTACTAGTTGTATCTTTTGACAAAAGCTTTCTCTTATAGTAGTGTTTAGACTTCCAAAACAGTAAAGTTTCGCTATAAATTATCGAATTTCAGAGATGGCCGAAGTTTCCTAGTAATTAATAAAATTTTTGCTTATCCATAGGGACGAGTCTTCCTGTCATCATATGAATATGTATATATATTTTCACAATATATTCAAGGAAATTTTTTAGTAATTTTGTATATATTGTTGATGATAGTTTTTAATGGATAAATTTACTACGATGAAGATTTCTATTGTTGAAGGAATTTACTTTTTGAGAAATCTAAACATAGATCAACATAGCAACTTATGATTACATGAAGAACGACGTAATTACTCAACAATAACGATCTATTCTATGAGAATACATGAGTGAAACTCATCAATTTAAGTTACGATCCCGACCAAAACAAATGATATATCTAGTTTCATAATAAGAATAAAGCTGATTCTTCTACCAATAGAAACAATATAATCATTTTTAATCTAAAAGATAGAACAGATTTTTTGATAGAAAATATAAATGTAATAATACTTATATATTTTTATATTAGTTAATTGAATACTTGAAAGCATTACGTACCTGTCCTATATTTGTTTCAATACTATGAAGTTAATTCCTGTATTAGGATATTTTTTTTTACCAACTTTAACAAAAACATCGTTTTTACCACCATCATGTTAAACAATCAAAAAGAGTATTAATCAATTATACAACGTTTTGTTTTGATTGAGATTAAGAGAAGATTAACGTGATTTAATTTTTAAAATATCCATCGTTTTTATATTACTTAAACATCATAAAGAATTTTAATATTGATTTTGAATGTAAAAGAATCATATATAACTCACATATTGCATATTTACCTATTACTATATAGTCTAGTGTTATTCTAGCTATGAAATATATCAATCACCTATGTTTATTTCTCTCTGTAGACATTTATGTGTTTTTTTATTTGTACCAACTGAACGACTATATTTAGAAAAACAATAATGAAAGATAAAATCTATAGAATCATATGCTACAAATAAAAGAAAAAAAAAACTCTATGCTTGATAAGTAAGAAAAGTCGAATATCAATATATACGTATAGATAATGAGTTAAAACTTTTTCAAAATTAACGATTATGATCAAGTTGTTATCTATGTTGTTATAGTAAAAAAAAATAGATCTAATCCTTTCATATTGAAACAAAACAAAAAGGTGAGTTTAACAATATTCGAGTGTTTTTACACAAGAGAAAGAACAGTTTGTTTTACTATTGGAAAATGGAAAAAACAAAGTTTTGAAATGCATATAGTAAAATTATTTTGTATTTTTGAATTCATCAGTTCTCAGTTATCGAATATGATAGTAAACTTTCCAGAATCATTGAGTGTCTAATAGAACAATCAAAATACACTGAAGAATAATGTATTAAAAGCAAATAGAGTACGCTAGTTGATGATATAAATTGATTTATTTCTCTTTTTGTTGGTTGAAATACCACCACTACCTATAATATGTTTGATACACTCATGACGAACATGATTCATAAATAAAACAAGATATTGTGTAAAAAAAAAACTAATTCAAGTGTAATAATGATTCGTTTCTTTTATGATTCAATAGGTTCTTTCCATAGAATGTATTGGACAAATATCATCGATAAGATTTTATTTGCAAATACTATTATTTTTTTTTTTTTCTTCTTTCCTAATTTCTTTTTTTTTATCTGTCATAGACAATAATTGAATTATGTCTTTTTTAGATATATCAAACTTCATATATGGATATACATTAACATATTATTATTTAGTATCTCGTAGATAATAGATATGGCTAAAGCCTATGATTATTTATTTAAATTACTTTTAATTGGTATGTAAAAATTTTATATATTTTCTTATTATATAAATATTTAATTAATAATATATTTTCATTTAGGCGATAGTGGTGTTGGAAAGGTATGTTTGACATTTAGAAAAAATTGTTTTTTGTTTTGTTTTGTTATATATAAAAGATATATTTAGACATGTGTGCTTTTGCGTTTCTGTGATTCAGCATTTAGCACAACATTTATTTCGACTATTGGTAAATATATAATAATTGATAATAGTTGTTATTGGTATTATTTTAAATAGGAATTGATTTTAAAATTCGTACAATAGAACTTGATGGACGAAAAATTAAATTACAGATTTGGTATGTTGTAAATATAAAAATTTCAAAAAAGAAAAATAAATTATTTAACTTTTCTTTTATAGGGATACTGCTGGTCAAGTATGAATATATTCTTTTATCATCATTTCAAAAAAAAACAAAACATGTTTAATATATATTTTATCTTAGGAACGTTTTAAAACTATTACAACAGCTTATTATCGAGGAGCTATGGTATGATCATTATATATGACTTTTAAAATTATTATATTTATTTAGGGAATAATGCTTGTATATGATATAACAAGTGAAAAAAGTTTTGATAATATTAAAAATTGGATACGTAATATTCAAGAAGTATGATATAATTATATTAATAAATATATATATAAAATTTTCTTTATTTAAAAATTATTTAGCATGCTTCAGCTGAAGTTGAACGAATGCTTATAGGAAATAAATGTGACATGCAAGATAAACGACAAGTTAGTCGAGAAAAGGGTGAAAATGTATGTAAATTTTTTTTTATAGAATTAACGTACTTCTTTTTTTTCTTTTCTACAGTGACAATCTCTAAAGGATATCATAATGAATAATAAAAGATAAAGAACAATATTAGAATCGATCAGTGTTTTATCCAGGTTTTTTTCTTCGGAGGGGCGATTTGAAATTTTGGGGGCGCGAAAAATTTTTTTCGGGAGGGCAAGTCATATACTTCGTCGCGCGATGATCGCGAATCTCGGGGAGGGGGGGCACCCCTGTAGATAAAACACTGGAATCGACCGATCAAAAAATAAAGAACTTTCTGATTGTGTGTTCTAAAATTCTCGAAGGACTTTTATTATAATCTATTACTTTTAGCTTTGTTTGAAAGGACATACGTAGCTTCAATATGTGACACAACCAATTTTTTGAATTAGGCTTTTTTTTTTATTATTATACAAAAGAAAACATATCTGTAAATAGATGATCTTTTCTTTTGTGAGTTCTTCGTATCAATCTTTGTCTTATTATAATGAGTAATGTTTTACGAAAGAAAAAATGAGTCCTGTAGTCTGACATGCTCTTTCTAATAAAAAAAACTAATTCTATAGAGAATTTTCAGCTGTCAAAGGAGTTACTTTTGACTTTTGTTTGTTGAGTATCTCTCGAGAATGTCAAAGTATATGACTAAAAAATTCATGTGATTTGAAAGTAGTTGATTCAAGATCAATTTTTGAGGAAATAAATCTTAAACAAATTAGTATTGAAAATGGAAAAAAACATAATTCCGGAGGAGCTAAAATGTGAAACATGATGTAGCTATTATTACTAATCACAAGAAGATTATTTTATTCTGTCTATCTTGTGACATATTTCTTCATCCACTTTTTTATTTAAGTACGGGTATATGATGTTAATAATTTTTGAAATAAAAATAATACTTCGGAATGCATTAAAGACTTAGCTTTAAACTTATTCGATAGAAAATTTTCTGTTCTACAAAAACTACTGTCTTTGTTTTTTGAAATAACATTTACTCAATCGTCTAATTGAAACGAACAAAAAACGAACTATAATTTCATGAAAGTTTCACTGATCTTTCGAATATATTACATAGTTTAGGATATTTAGAAGAAATATATACGAGAAAAATCCTTTTCTGGATAATTGATTTTTTTGAAGTTTGACATAACTTCATATTTCTACACTCAGCAACATGCGAACAAACGTGCCGTAAAGCAAGCCTCATTTTAGAAAACATAGCTATTTAGAATGCGTCTCAAAATACCACTAGATGTTGGTTCAAAACATCGATAAAGAAAAACTTATTTAAAAAAATGTTCTAAAAATAGGAAAACATTTTGACTAGTCTATAATGTATCAACCGTTGTAGACATTCATTCATCTCCACTCATTACTATGTTCATCGGATTCAGCTGATTATATAGTAAATATATATAAAATTCCATAACGTTGAGTGAGAAGGTCAAATATCAAAACGTATTATTTCCGGGGGACAAGTTTTCATAAATATATAAATTTATATATTTATTTAAGATATATCATTTTGTTATAAAAAAAAAAGAACTATTCGTTTCTTTAGCTTGCTAATGAATATGGTATTAAATTTATGGAAACCAGTGCAAAAGGAAATATTGTAAGTATTATAATTCAACATTTTTCTATAAGTTATTTCACACGAAATAATTATTCTAGAATGTAGATGAAGCATTTTTTTCACTGGCCAAAGATATTAAAGCAAAAATTGATAAAAAAGCTGTATGAATCTTCATAATATTTTTTTCTTTTTTTTCATTTTTGTTCATTTATTAAAAATTTTATAGGGTTCTGATCTATTGAATAAACCGGCAGTAATAAAACCCAAAGTAGATTTACAAAAAAAAAGTGGTACATCGTTTTGGTCTCGTTGCTCAATATTTTAAACTTCTACAATCAAAAAAAACAAAATAAAATTTGTCATTGCTTATTTTTTATGGTGCTGATCGTTGACCTATTTCATCAAAGTCATTGAATGAGACGTTTGACGGCAAATAATCACTAACGGCGAGCTTTTCTTCTTCTTCTTCTTCTTTTAATACCGATCAATCATCCATTTTGTAAATCAAAATCTTTGTTCTTTATTTCGTTTGTTATTCATTCAAACATATGTTCTCATTCTTTTTCTTTTGGGTGTCTTTATATCGTCTTTTTTTTTGTCTTCTTCTTATGGAATAATAAAATAAAAAGTATAAAGTCTCTATTGACGAACACTATTGACTTCCGAAATGACGAAGATGAACAAATATATACATCACCCATTTCACTCTCTTCCTGATCGTCCCAACATGACATCCTGTGATTTTTGTCGTGTTCTTATTTCTATTTATCCGAATACATATCTTTCTTCTCTTCCGATTGATGACATCGAAACGAAATCTTTTGATTAAACATATGAATGAATGTGTCCTCATTCGAAGTCTTGCATTTACGTTTGTTCTCTATGTACACAAACGATGGGACATATACTGAACTAGTTAATCGTACGCAACCGCCGTCGTTTGTTTGATTCTATAGTTTATAATAAAAAAAACGATGGTTATTAAAGTAGGTTCAGGAGAAATTGATGATTTATCAACATTAAATGTTCTTGATGAAGAAAGTTTATTACGTGAATTACGTGCTAGATATAAAAAAGGAATTATTTATGTAAGTTTTCTTATTTTATTTGATTATTTTTGAAAAAAAATTCATTTTTCGATAAATAGACTTATATTGGAGATGTTCTTATTGCTATAAATCCATTTAAACAATTAAATATATATGAAAAACAGGTTTGTTTCTTATAACAACAAAAAAAAAAACGTTTAATTAATAAATACAAAACATATTCTAGCAACATGATTTATATAAATCTGTTCAATATCGAAATCAATTAACACCTCATCTTTTTTGGATTGCTAATCAAGCTTATCGAAAAGTTTGTTTATCAAAAAGATCACAATGTATTGCTGTTTCAGGCGAAAGTGGAGCTGGTATATAATTAAGAAATAATTTTTAAGACGATCAAAGAACTGAGACATAAGTCAAAATTTTGATTTTTGACTTTCTTTAATGTATATTCGAACGAACATCTTCTAAAACCATCAGATCCAAATTTTTAGCTCATCTAGATGTTCTATAATGAATTTAACTTAGATAGACTTTATAGTACTATTTACCAAGTAATAAATTGTCTCACAAATGTTTACTCGGATTATATTTCAACAACGCTAAATAAATTCTTTTATGAAATCTACCAAAAGACGGAAAATGAAAAGCTGAACAAAATGAGTAGAGTGGGTCGTCAATTATGTATTTATAACGAGATTTTTTGAGGTTTTTTGAAAAGAAAGAAAGACATTTTGATCGGTTTTCATTACTATGACACTCGGAATCAATGTCAAACGTTACATTGAATCAAATACATTTTAGAGAAATTTTCGTCCCGCAAAAAACTAAATCCTAGGAAATCATGAGACAAGCCTTAAAGAAATACAGTTTATCACTTGGTAGGTAGTTGCTAAAAGTTTGGTCCTAATGATTTTAGATAATAGTCTTTCGAAAGTTGATAAAAAAATAAAAATTTTTACTTGTATTTCGGTTCTTTGGTTCTCTCATAAATTATCTCTTAGTTATAAGATATATTTTATATTTGAATTTTATTTTTTACATAGGAAAAACTGAATCAACAAAACTTATTGTTTCACATATAATTCATTGTTCAGGTGATGTTGGTGATCGTGAATTACAAAATCGAATAATTGAAGTTTGTATTGAAATACATTGAAAATATTTAATATAATGTTTATAATTATAGACATCACCATTACTTGAAGCATTTGGTAATGCTCAAACATGTATGAATCAAAATTCGAGTCGTTTTGGAAAATATCTTCAATTAAATTTTACGGATGCGGGTCGAATTATTGGTGGTATGATTTTGTTTGGTTTTGTTTTGTTTTAAATAAAATGTTTTTTTTTTGTTAAGCAAAAGTTTATGATTATTTACTTGAAAAATCTCGTGTTGTTCAACATGGTCCAGGTGAACGAACATTTCATTTTTTTTATTATTTATTTGCTGGTTTGGAAAAAGAAACATTAGAATTTTTTTATTTGGATGATCCAGAAAAATATCGGTAGAAAAATTTCTTTATATATCATATAATATTTTATGAATATATATATTTAGAATTTTAAAAGATCCATGTGGAGGAAAAGTATTTCCAAATCGATCAGATTTTAAACATTGTCGACAAATGTTTAATACACAAAAAGAAATTATGCAACGTGTGGGATTTACGAAAGAAGTATAGTTTATTTTTGAAGAGATTTTTTTTTTTGACAAATTCTCTTTTAGGATATTAGTATGGTATTTACAATTCTTTCAGCTATTCTTCATTTGACTAATATTCGATTTTCACATGATGATGAAACAGATGGAGTTTATATTGAAGATGAATATCCATTAGAAGTTGGTAAGAGATCTTATTATCGTGTATTTTGTAAATCAGAATAGATTGATATTCCACTTAATAAAATAATAATTAAGCTTAAAACCGGTATAGTTAAATTTGGGCGAAATTATTTCACTGTAGAGATACAGATTGAGTCCCATCATTTGAAAATCGATGAACCGAATGGACAATTATAAGATATGAAAGAACACTTTATCTATAAACAATAGTTAATTCACTATGAATTTGTTTAGCAGTAAAGTCTAATAACAATCGAGTTTTTATCTTTAAGCGTATGCACTATTTTTCAATTTGAAAATACAGACGACTAAAACATTTACCTTAATAGATACTGGTGAAACTTTCTATTAGTGGTTTTATACATAACACGAAAACAACTTTTGTAGTTCCTTATGTGTTTTTTAGATTTGCAAGCATTATATTCTTTTTAAATCAAAATTAATCATTATTTCGATTTTTTCTAGTTTGTAGTTTACTTGCACTTGATCAAGAAATGTTAACTATGGCTCTTATTTCGACATTCAATATGACTAAAGGTATATTATTGATATTTTTTTTGAGAAAATATTTTCGTTATAGAATATGATTTTCATAGGTGAACGTGTAATAAGTTTAAAAAATTTTGATCAAGCTAATGATTGTCGTGATGCACTTGCTAAAGCTTTATATGAACGTTTATTTTCATGGATTGTTAAACAAATAAATACACTTTTACAACCAAATCGACGGTAATTATTTTATTTTGAATATTTATTAAAAAAAAAGGAAAAAAATGTTTTTTTTTGTGTTTTATATAATAGACATAATCAAGTCTATGATAAAATTTATCGTACATGTTCAATATTAGATATGTCAGGTTTTGAAAATTTTCAAGTGAATAGTTTTGAACAATTATGTATCAATGTTGCTAATGAACATCTACAGTATTATTTTAATGAACACATTTTTTTACAAGAAGAACAAGATTATCGAACTGAAGGTGTATCATGTGAAAAAGTTGAATTTCAAAATAATGAAGATTTAATTGAATTATTTATGGGTGTAAGTTTAATAATATCAAAAAAAAAGAAAAAGAAAAACATTTCTTTTTGATTATTTTCTTTTTTCTTTTTTACTCCAATAGACATTAGGTATATTTGCATTACTTGATGAAGAATCTCGTTTTCCAAAAGCAAATGATGAATCACTTGTACAAAAGTTTCATAGTCATTGTAAAAATCATCCAAGATATATTAAACCAAGAGGCAATGAAACAGCTTTTGGTATTCATCATTATGCTGGAAAAGTATTGAAAAAGAAAAAAAAAAAAAGAATTTATTGTTTTATTTTTTTTACATATAGGTTGTATATGATGCTCGTGGATTTTTAGAAAAAAATCGAGATAATCTTAGTGCAAATTTAATTGAATGTATGGAAAAAAGTGGAATTGAATTAATTAGTCATTTATTTACTATGACAGATACAATAAATCATTCAACGGATATTGAAATGTCAGCACTGTAAGTAAAAACTAAATTTCAATTTAGTCTATTATGATTATGAGAAATACTTGAGCAAGTTTGATTTTTAAAAAAGTAAAGACACAAAAAAATTTCAATGAACATTTTCACTTTGCTATGTTCATAGCTACGTGATCAGCTAGACAATAAACAGGGCTCAAGTTTTCTTTGTTCGTATGCATTGGTCAAGAAAATGAGTTTCTATCTGCGTATTGACTATCCTATTCTTTTGTCAAGAGCACGATCTATAAAGAGTGTAAATATATAAATTATTTCCATCTTGCACATCTCAAGAACTAGATAAATGTATGCTGAAGAGTTTGATTCAGTTCTAACAAATCATTAAATTGCGAGCTATAACATCCCTATACGACAGTTAGAGAACAACTATCGGCATCCCAATGGTTTGAATCAGATGAGTACTCAGTCGAATGCGAAAATTCATTAAAATGTGTGTACATACATGACCTGGTATGCGTGAGAACGCGTCATACGATAAACTATCTTGGCGTTTACATGCATGAAATTTTTCGCATATACACACCTCATATTGTCGCTTCTTACTAAAAGATAAGAATGCTTTTGTAGATAGTATAATCGTGTACATGCAAGACAGTTTTAGAATGACAAAAGAAAACAAAACATATCCAGTAGACATACATACTTTGCTTTATAAGATGAACTTCATTACCAATCGACTATTTACTTATGTTAGACGTACAGTCAAAATTTGAACATATAATGATTGATCATTTGATAACTACTTTCGAAATTTTTTACATGAATATTATAACTATAGGCGAATGCAAGAAACAGCATGTATACTACAATATGATAGAAATTTGTATGCCAATTCCGAATTACTTTGTTAATAGTTTTCGTCAATATGACCTTTTTTCATTGACATGTTGAGTTCAGCAAAATTCGAGT